AACGTCGCTCACCGAAATGAATGCAGCGCCACTACGATGAGATCTTCGCGACGCTGCACGGCGGGAGAGATGTTCGCGACGGTTTAAAGACTTTAAGCAAAAAGTGATTAAAGAATATTAAAGTGTTTTAAAAAGTGAAATTAGCGACAAAATCGAACTAATTGTGTTTTAATATAGTTTTACAGTATGTTTACAACTCGTAATATATTTGTATAAAGTATCGTTTTAATAATAAGTTGATATAAACGACTTTAAACATTAAATAAAATTTCGACCAATCACAGAGCAGCATATCGTGAAACTTTCTAGAAGTTAATTAACTGCGCAATAGTTTATATGAAAATAATGAGAATATTTTTATGTTCTGAAAGAATTGTAAATACGATATTTAGTTAGCATATGGTATATAGATTGAAATAAGTAAATAGATAATTTATGTAAATAAACGCATTTGAGAAATATAGTAAAATTAAAGATTTAATGTGCACTTTTGTTATGTAAATTAGGTACATTTTGATTAATAACTTTTTTGAATGTAAATATATCAAGTAACCCTTATCACATAATGATAAAGGACCAAAATGCCTATTTTATAGTGTATAGCGTGTTAATGTAAAAATTAGCATTATATAGAAAAATTGCGATTTGTGCAAATTACGTAATGAAAATGTTTGATAATAAAAAGGCAAAACCGGAAATTGGCAAGCGGCTCTCTATAGAGTATAGCCGAAGTCTACCTTATGGGGGCAAATCACAGTAACATGGTAGTATGAAGAACTACCAGTAACAAGCAGTAGTATCCGGTAGTAGCTGAAGTGACTAGTAGCAGAACACAGTGAAAAGTTAAAGTGAAATAGAAAAGGTTTAGCTAGCCGAAAAAGGTCGTAACTGAAAAATCGCAGTTACACATAGTCGGAAAAAAGTGGCAACTGAAAATTCTCAGTTGCATATAGTAAAATAGTGTTAGCTAGCTGAAAAGAGTGGTAACTGATATTCGCAGTTACATATAGTGAAAAAGTGTTAGCTAGCCGAATAAAGTGGTAACGGAAATTTCGCCGTTACATATAGTGAAAAGTGTTAGCTAGACGGAAAAAGTGGTAACTGATATTCGCAGTTACAAAAGTGTTAAATTCAACTAAATTTAGTTGATTAATAGCTGCTAGTCAGTAGTGTTAGAAAACCAGCTGCTACCAATAGAAATTTTTGATACTACCAATAGAAATTTGTTACTCCCAATAGATATTCAAAATTACCAATAGAAATAGTAGAAAATACCAATAGAAACTTGTTACTGCCAATAGAAATTTGATATTACCAACAGATACTTTGAAAATACGAATAGAAATTTTAAAAAACCAATAGAAATTTTAATATTACTGTGTGTTTAATTAAATCTGTGTTTTAAAATATATAGTGAACAATCATAGTTGAAAAACAGTGTTAAATAAATAAATAAGTTATAATATTTCGTAACTAATTAATCAGTCGAACCGCTGGCCACTCCCTTGCTATTTTAATTTATAAATCGTGCATTTTTAATTCTGAACCTCAGTCCACAGTTCTCCAACAGCATACACAAAGGCGGTAGTGAAAGTATCCACCGGAACCTATAGGTGTAGGACGTGAGCGGCTCGCGGAGTATCTTCGACAACATTTACTCCGGAGAGTTACGCCCGTCCGGCACATTCGTAGCAGTGTTCTCTTTAATATCAATTATATCTACATCCGGGATTGTTTCAAGGACACAGGTTGCAGCAGCTTTGCAGTTATCTGTGATGATAACAGATTCTAAAGCCTTACAATTATCTTTTTCACAATTAGCTCCTGAGGCATGGAACTGGACATATTGTTAATTAAAAGTGCAGTGTAGGCACTCTGAAAATGTTCTGGTGTTGGATTAACATTGCGGCACTCATAGCTTCTAATGGTTCCAAAAAAGTTTTTTTTTATATGAGAGGGGGCAAACGAGCATGCGGCTCACCTGATGGTAAGTGACTACCGCCGCCCATGAACAACCGCAACACCAGGGGAATTGCAGATGCGTTGCCGGCCTTTTAAAAAGGAGTAGGCTCTTTTCTTGAAGGTCCCTAATTCGTATAGGTCCGGAAAAATCGCTGGTGGTAAACTATTCCAAAAGGAAGTTGTGCGAGGAAAAAAACATCTTCTAAATCGCACAGTGGTGGACCGCCAATCATCCAGATGGTGTGGATGGTATCGGGAGTTCTGCCGCGATGTGCGTTCGTGAAATTTGGCGGCTGGGATTAATCCGAACAATTCCTCAGAGCACTCCCCATGGTAAATGCGAAAAAAAATGCTAAGAGATGCAACATCTCTTCGCAGTGCCAATGAGTCGAGCCGATCGGAAAGGACTCGGTGGTCGACGATTCGAGCCGCTCTGCGCTGGATGCGGTCAAGTGGAAGGAGCTGGCACTGGGGAGCCCCAGCCCAGAAATGGGAACAGTATTCCATGTGAGGCCGAACCTGCGCCTTGTAAAGTTGCAGGCGTTGAGCCGGCATGAAATACTGTCTCGCTCTACTGAGCACGCCAAGCTTTTTAGAGGCCAATTTGGCCTTCTCTTCCAAGTGACCACGAAACTGCACGTTAATCGATATGTCGACTTCGAGGATTCCGATACTGGCTGAGGCAATAATGAGTTTTCAATAGGGTCTTGGTTGAGGCGCCGCAATCAAACAGAAGTAATACCATACTTAGTTTCCAATTTTTTAATAGAATTTATACACCAAGTACTCACTCTCATGATTATTACAAATTTTATTTTTAAATTTCATGTTATTTAATATAGCTTTTGCTTCATTCCACAACTTATGGTGTTCTGAGTTTGGCCTTGCTGGTCCAAGAAGAGGCTTTACATATAGTATTTTCTTTATTATAGCTGCCATTAACAGAATTGAATACCTTGTCAAAAAAGAGGAGAATTTCGGCAGTTTCCGCATATTCTCTTGGAAGAATGCCTTTTTCTGAAAAACAAAAAGTTAATTAATCCATTAATAAACACTTGTATTATCAGAGCACAGCAAGGTTTTTGTGACATTTTTCTTCTTTATTGGCCCATTAAAGTTTACTGCTGGACTTGAGCCTGTCATGCTTGGCAGGCGGCTTGACAATCATAGATCTAGACGTGAACACCTTTGACGCAGCTTGTCCATCGTCAATTTGGATTTTACGTCTGGCGTAAACGAGATGGTTATACCGCCGACTAAACAGAACTCATGAGATTATTTGTCATATCTCTTATAACATAACACCCATGGGACGAAATGAGGTGATGGGTTCTCTGTTTTTATTAACATACAATTTTTAAGACTAAATACATAATTTAATTTAGTCATGAATACATAAAGGCTGATTTACACAGGGTCAGTAGACAAGTCAGTCGCAGCGCCAATGTCGGCGCCGCGACTGACTTTAACTGTTTACATGAAGTAAGTAGTAGTGGTGCGTTTCTCACGGTGAGCACACGTGTGTGAAGTCAGTGGGAAATATGAATTCGCGAAAACAACTGAAACGACGATTTAATTATTTGTTGAAAAATTTATCAATTTTGCTGTTGAATGAGTTAATAGAAATGGTAGAAAATGAGATAACTAAAAATAAACGACAATGGGTAAGAAAATGGATTGACGATAGAAATGAAGCTGGTGGCTCTGCTTTGTTGCTGAAGCAATTGCGATTTGAAGATCCTGCGGAGTACAAACTGGCTATGAGGATGTCACCACAGAATTTTGACGAATTGCTGTCAATGATATCGAGCTCTATTCAACGACATGATACATTCATGAGAGATGCTTTACCAGCCAAAACTAAACTGGAAATAACGCTGACATTTTTGGCTTCAGGAATAAAGATAGGTTAATACCGATATTTGTCAGTATTAGTTAATATGAATATATTTGTCAAGTTATATTATAATATTTAAACTAATATATGAATATTACTGATATCTTAATATAACGGTTATACGTATCACTATTCTATTCGTGTAGGTAATAAGTTTATTTTACCAAGCAATCTTATTAGTTTTTATACGAATATATGCTCGGTTTATATGCTTTGATAAATATTAATGTTGTTAATAAATAAATGATATTGTGAGGAATTGGAATGAAAAACAAACAACATTTTTATATAATGTGTATATGAAAATTTTATTTTTTAGTTCGTCGGTCAGAAATTAGTTCCCCAGATTTTGAGAAAATTCTTTCGCAAGGTACTGAAGTACACAACAGTGCTGTTTGAATACCTTGCTGAGGTTAGGGTACAAAAAAGAATGTTTACGCCACTAATTATTTGGATTTGCATTCCTTGGTAACATTTTATCATTTATAAACCTCTGAACCTCAGCAATAGCTATTGCTGTTAGTGACTCCAGTGTATGAACGTCTTGGATGTCAATATCCGCCCAAATATCTATGAAATTATATGGCTTGCTGGTATCTTCTGATATTCCGGTTTCTGTTGATGTAGTCGGCGCTGATGACGTTATCGTTAACCGTGATTCCTGTCTAGTACTTTATTTATTTCAATAACTGCCATTTCGATCACCTTTTTTTGGCTGCTTCGGCTGCTCTTTTATCAATAAAAAATGCCATTTTAAATCTTGGGTCGACAAATGTAGCTACTCCTGAAGTACCGCTCATCTCTATATTACTCAGTCTTGTCAGCAAACTACGCATAATCCTATTACATACAACTTTAGCACCGGAATGTAGTGTTTCATCGTGTGAAATATTGTCGGAATACACATTATTTAATAATCTATTAAATATTATGACAAGACTACCTGTAACGTATTTTGCTCCACTAATCTGGACTAATCTGGAGTAATTTAACCATTCATCGGCACTAATACCGGGTGCTTCAAAAAAATGTATATACACTTTGAACTTCCATAGAAAATTTATTTACCGTTCTACAAAGTTAAATTTCAGGAAAATAGAAAGCTGAAAGTCCAATGTAAATGAAACATAAATAACAAATGTTAATACTGTTCAAATTGGTGACCTGCAGCATCAATACAATTCTGAGTACGAGTCACCACAGATTCTGTACATCGTATCAAAACGTCCAATGAGATTTCTCTACACACTGCTTGAATCTCATTCCAAAGAATGTCTAGGTTACGTGGTTTACGTTTGTACACCTCATCTTTTACTGTGCCCCACAAGAAGAAATCCAGTGGTGTAAGGTCTGGAGAGCGTGCTGGAAACTCGATTGGCCCCCTGCGTCCTATCCACTGGCCCGACAAATTTTGATCCAGGTAAGCTCGTACGTCCCTGTGATAATGCGGCGGAGCACCATCTTGTTGAAAATAAAAATCATCATTACCGTATAATGCACGAATGGCAGGAAATATGGAATCAGCAAGCATTGTTAGGTAATTAATACCAGTTACAGTGCCTTCAAATCGAAAAGGTCCAATGAGTCCCCTTGAAGACAAACCGCACCACACATTTATACCAGGCAAATTTATAGCTTTTTCAATTGTAATGTGAGGATTTTCTTCACCCCAGTAAACACAATTGTGCCTATTGACAGTTCCATTAAGTTTGAATTGGGCTTCATCCGACCAAATGATGCTACCCATAAATCCCGGTTCACGTATCACCATCTCCTGAATCCATTCACAAAATTGCAACCTTCGATCTGGATCGTCGTCATTTAGCTGTTGCACCAGCTTTGGAATGTAAACACGATACTTGCCTCTCTTCAGAATGCGTAGCACGCTGCTAGCACTTACATCACTTTCACGTGCCCCTTGCCTTGAAGATTTGTTAGGAGAGCGTTGAAACAGTTCCAAGACTGCCGTTGATGACTCATCACTTGTAGCTGTTCGAGGCCGACCTGAATGACCTTTATGCACATCACACACTGTTCCATGAACTTCGAATTTGTCTCGTATGCGTGTAATTGTTAATCTTGAAGGTGGTTCTGTATCATACTCCCTTCTCCACTGTCTTTGAACTTCATTTACATTCTCAAACTTCCAGTATCACTTAATAACCTGCTTACGTTCTTCAAAACTCAAACGTACGTCCCACATGTTGATATTACAAATTCCAACTGATAATATAACATAGAGGGACGATTATGCTGGCACCTGGCGAAGAAATATAACATTAGCCTTGTAGAGCGGAAAAACTACAATAGTTTAAAGTGTGTATACATTTTTTTGAAGCACTCGGTATATTCAAGGCAAGTACTGCTAGCGGAGTCTAAGATTGCCAATGTACTTGTTACTGCTTCCTTTAACAATAAAGCTCTTTATATCAGATAAAAGGTGGAATTCCATCTGGTTGCGACATCTATTATAATTTTTTTTTCGTCGTCTTACATTATTATTTACTTGGTATTTAAGGAGTTTTTCGACAGCAGCGTTACTTCGTCTGAAATGACTTACAATATTTCTTAATTTACTCAAAAAAATTTCGACTTCCGGTATCATTAGACCATTTTTGGCTATCAAATTAATTGTATGTGCAAAGCATCCAAAGTTTTTTAAATGAAGATCTTTAATGCAGTTTTGAATATTTGGAGCATTGTCAAAAACAACTAATTTAACTTTTTTTGTGAAGTTCCAATCGGTTATGACTTCATTCAACTCCGTACTCAAATTAAATGCTGTATGCGGCCCAGACAAAATGCGACATTGTAGAAGAGCAGTTTCTAAATTAAAGTTTTTATTTATGTAATGCGCAGTTACCGCTAAGTAGCCCTCTTGTGCTCTTGATGTCCAGCAGTCTATTGTGAGACAAGCAGAATCGACATTACTGAGTTCTTATCTGACTTTATTTGAGGAGTTGTGATATTCAGCATCTAACAATGTATTTGATACATGTTTACGACTCGGAAGCTGGTAAGCTGGGTTTAGCGTTGCTACAAATGTTTGGAAATATACATCCTCAATTGAGAACGGCAGAAAACTTTTAGAAAACAATAACATTAATGCGTCATCTATTTCTTTTCTTTGTTTCGTCGATAACTTTTTAGTACTAGCGAACATTCTTAGGGTTGACTGAATTTTATTAGATGCTTGCGGGTCCGAAGTTGTGAAGATCCAGATAAAGCAACGTAATCTGTATGCTCAATGTCGGCGTTGAGTCAGTCACTGGTAAAGTTAGCGGCCTCGTTGGAATGACTTCCTGTTCCTGTCTTGAGTTTTGAGTAGGGATAGTTATAAAATGCTTGTTTTTTAAATGTTTATTTAAATTGGAAACAATTCCTTTAAAACTAAATTTCGATTGGCATGGCATTTTGCAAACTTATTTTCTTCAGAATCAACTGTGAAATAATTCCATACTTCACTTACTCGAGCGCGCTTCATTTTTCTAATTTGAAGTCTTTTTATTTTATGATATAGCTAAAAATAGATATATGCCTTTGCTTTTAACCGCTTTAACACTCAGCAACTGAACTAAACTTTTAATACACTGTTTAAGATAATTTTTAATTTAATGTTCACGAATTCACGAATTACCAAATGTGTTACACCACACTGTGTCACAAATGAATTGCATTGAAACAAAATACACCCTTTTGTTTTTGTTTATATAAGTATTATTGGAAGTGATTTTAAGTGGTTAGAATAAAAATAAATCCACTGCACAAAACAAGGGCTCTTGTTTTGTATGTTTACATTTTAAGAATGATTTACAATATCTAGCAATATGATAACTTATTTCAATGAATGTCGATATGATTTTAACAAGAATATTGGGAAAATACCATGACAATAAAACTAATATATGTCCAATAATTTATTAAAATAAATAAATGTAAATATACACTATTAAAAAAACTACTAGGGAGTCTGTAGCGGACAGCAAGGAAGGCCGTCGCCCCGTCGCCCCTTCACACCCCGTTGCGCTCCGCGCACCCCGCACACCGGCAGCAGATCACGCGATGTCGCCGACTAATCAGCGCGCGGCATCGCCTTACGACGCTACTCACGAACCGAGATGCTCTCTTGCGGGATATAAGAAGGGCGTTTTGGCCTATGAGCTGTTCATTTCACTTCGGAAGCGGTACTAGAAGAAGCAGCAAGAGAAATCAAGAAGAATCAAGATTCCAGAGAAATCCAGAAGACTCCCCTCTGTACATAGTATAGTTTATAGTGCCACATTTGTAAATAGTTGAATACAGTATAGTTTCTTAGTACCATCTTTTCTTTAAGCAGTTCCCTATCGTAGTCAGTTAATACAATCTACTTGCAATAGTAAATTAATACAGTCCACTTCGATCCCTAACAGAGTCAATAAATTTTAAACATTTATAAAGAGTTTTATTTGTAATGTCCCGCTGGTCGCCGTGATATATAATATCCAATTAAAAATAGTACTAAATAATAGAGAACGAATACCCGCCAAACGCTCATATCGGTTAATTCATTTGGTCATTCGGTTCGTTCGCTTGCACCGCTATACTTACGATACGAATGATACAGATATCCGTCACGAATATCAGCAGTCGAGTCGAGCCGAGTGATATTATCCAACCGATGTTGAACAGTTAGTGTATAAATGAAGTGAATATGGAATATTAGCATATCAGAATCCGTTGGATAACTGATCTATGAATCCACCCAATATTACTAATATCTTAACGAATACGAATATATCGGTTACATCTTTATTCAGGAATGAACTATCGGTTCCTTAGTCACTTTTATCGTGTCTCAAAACCAGCAATTTCTCAACTAATACCAGAAGTGTGCTGGGCAATATATACGGCACTAAAAACACATCGCTGCTTTGTACGAATAATCGCACAATCCAAAAACACACATTTTACAGGGTAGCTATTTGAAAATTAAACAAAATATTTACTGTCATAACTTTTCATGTTTTTAATCATTATAAGAGTAGAATATATAAATCGAAAGGACATTAATCAAGGTTTGATTATAATTTAAAAATTCAGGTTTTAAGCTGCGAATACCTTAATTAATAATTAAAAACTGTGACTTATTCGACTTGTTACAAAATGAGTTTTGGTATATTATCATGAATAGGAACACAAATCAAAATAATACATATGAATAGTTCACAATTTTAGTTTTACAATGGCATAACTGGTAATATGATCTACAAGATATAAAAAAAATCTGTAATAGTAACACAATTACGATAAAGATAATATTAATGAAAAGTGTGTTCAAACACAAATCAATTTATTTGTTTTATGCTGAAGCCGTCGGAACGATTTTTTCTGTAGAGTAACACATTTCTGTTTCTGTGTACTTTTCTACAGGTTTGTTTAATCTCTAAATATGATAATTTAGAGATTAAACAAACCTGTAGAAAAGTATTTTTAGAAGAAAATGCTGTCATACAAAATATACGTAAAAAATTAATATAAACATCAAATAGTCCACATTTTATAACAATTTGCAGTATGTCTATTACTGTCATCAAGGTAGCTACCAGTACGCATATTAAAATTATCACATTAAAATATTAGGAATCACAAACATAAAAGAAATCTAAACAACAATACCTATCTATTACGCTTCTTAAAAGTAATTAGGAAAAATAACATTATAACAAAGTTTTGCTTTTTAAAAATATTTAGGAACATTATGAACCATAAACATAAAAAATATCAACAAACTAAAAATAATTAGGAACATTATGAACCATGCTTAAACATAAAAAAAATAACAAACTTGTGCTTTTTTTAAAAATAATTCGGTTCATTACAAATAAGAAACAAAAAAATCTATGAAACATTGGGCAACTACCGCATAATCAGTCTTCTTCAGGTACACAATTAATAATAAAAATTAGAGATTCTCAAAAAACGGTTTATAAAATCTTGGTACAATATTTTTCCTAATAAGGTCTAGCAAACCCTTCTTCTTCTTCTCACATATTGGGATTTTTTCTCTGTATGCCTTTTTAACAGTGATATTATTGGCAGTGTTTCTTGTCTTACCAATTTTATCTATCATGACTGTTTTAAACTCTGTGTCCTCGTACGATGTTTTATAGGAAAAACAGTAACTAGAGTCATTAGATTCCACCTTTAAAATTTTGACGTCTCCTAGCTTTAACGTTTCTTTGTCCATATTCTTAGAAAAATTTTTGCCTATCGATGAAGCCAACGCTTTTATATCAAAAAAATCTTCGTGTACTAATTCATTTACTTGATAGGCTTTACCAGATTTTTTAGCATTTCTTATAATGTGCACATACTGGTCAGGTGTATATATGGGTCCAGACTTTAGAGCTTTACCTACTCCTCTTTCAATAAGGGAGTGGACATTATCACCCTCATTTTGGGTGTGCCCTTTTATTAAGTATTTGTGGGTTATTGAATTAATAAAATCGAGATGGTAAACTGCATATACATAAAGAGCTATTATGTACTGGTTCTTTTGCTGGCCACAGCAATTGTCGGAATAAAAGACTATATCTAATTTTGAATCTAGTTCTTCAGCTTTAAGCTTTAAATTCTGTATGTATTTAAGCAAACAAGATCCTATTTCTATAGCACCGCGTTTAGCTTCACCTTCATGCCAGACATAACATGCAGTGTCTTTAGATTTGATATCGCATATTGTGAAATTATACGTATTTAATTTTGACACGTAATAAAAGTTTGATGCATCTCCTCTAGGACAAGGCATTGCAGCCTGAAGATCATAAACTGCTACAATACAATTATCAGGAGTAAATTTTTTGGTCATCTTCTTTATTTTGCCTTGACAAATCCTTCTCTTTTAAATGCCTATCAAACTTTTTTTTCAGTTCTACCTTATCGTTTTCTGTGGCATTACTGTATGATGTACAATCCTCACACTGATCTTTTTTTGGTTGGAAAAAGCTAATGTTGAATTCGTTGTTGAAGATCCTGTAATACATAAGGTAATTGGCGCTTGGTAGACTTTTTGACTGACAGTCGAGTTCGTAATCCCTATGCAAGTCTGCTACAGTTTTCCCACCATCAATATAAAGCCTTTTTGTGTCTGCACGACAGTAGTGACTTTCAATTTTTGGAAATGAGTTGATGTGTTGAATTACACTTTCTTTAATAGCCGGATCTAAATGGAAATGTTGACTGTGTTTGCCACGATTATCCAAATCTAACATGCCACATGAATTCTTCTTCTTTTGAATAACAGTTCGGATAAAGGCATCAGTTATATCTAGAGTAGCTTTAAAAAATACTTTACACACTCGAATTCTCTCATTATCAATGGTCAAATAAAAAGCATTGTTTTTCCCTCGGTTACTGTTATGCATCTTGTATGAGTATCGTGGTTGAATGACGGAAAGATGGCGTAAAATAAACTCCCGTTGTCTTTGCAGATCTCCCATGCCCCAAAAGCTTTCAAAAATTTCTTTGCACTGTGATTCTGTAATGTTTTGTGTACATTTTTGTTTGCATTTATCAGTACACGGTGTTTTGAGAGACTTTGCAGGCACAACGATTTTTCCTTTTTTAGAATTGGATATATAGGACTTACCAGAGTTTCTTAGGATTTTTGCCTTGTTACGCAACCAGTTATTGGGTGTAGATTTTCTTTTCCGTCCTTTACTTGAGCTGATATAATCGTTACAACCAAGATGTGTAGAATTGGTATCAGCAGTAAGTTCTAAAGAAGTTGGAGGTGTAGAACGAGAAGTTGAAGCTACTGGCTCAATCGAATCATTGCGAGAAATATCATCTTCGATGCAGGTAGCTCTTGTAGGAAATATGTTATTGTCTACCCCAGACTGAACCACTGCTGTTAAACGTTCATTATTCAATTCATCATCTGATGAACTCTCGGAATCTGAGGAACTAGATCCATCGCTTGAGCTGGATGAACCAGATCCATCGCTTGAGCTGCTACTAGATTCTGTTTGCATGGCATATCGGCATAGGTATAGGTGAACTTGTTTGGTTTATGGTGGAAACATCGTTACTGAAATTGTCATACTGTTTTTCATTTAAATCTACTCCACTCAACAAATTTTTAAAAACTTCTCGGCTTTTATTTTTCAAAAGAGACCTCTTTGTAGAACAGGGTGTATCGAAATCTACATAGTCAGGATCCTTCACACTATCATCTGAGCAAAAGTCTTCACTAACATTAGATAAATCTTTATTTTCAATATTATCGTTAGGCTTGGGAGATAAAATGAGCTGTTCCTTTTCAGTGAATTGTATGGAAGTTGAAGTCGTAGGTATTTCATTTTGTGTATCAGATTCACTATCTTGTTTGAGGTTCCGGATTATTCGTAGGGTACGGGGATTGCGCACTGTAAATAATAAGAACATTTCATAAAGTAACGAACCACGCCATACTATGCCATGGCATGTCATGCCAGACCAACATCACAATACAACACACCACACCACACCACTCCATACCACACCATGCCATGCCACACCACACCGTTCAGTCCTATCATACTACAACACAACACAACATAGCATCATGCCTGTAATACCCGAAGCCGGCTATATTTTTTCTGCTGTTCATCGGCATAATTTCTAACGCCGAGTTGCTAAATTAAGAATGTTCTAAATAAGAAATGACGATTACCCCGTTTGCTGCTTCAACCAGGATTCGAACCCGGGACATCGCGGTTAAAATAAGCCACGAGGCAGCAAAAAAATACCAAAACACGTTATAATATCGTTAAAAGTAACATAACTTGCTTTCGGTTCTAAATTGTTTAGCTTTATTTCTAAGCAATAATAACCTATTTCATAAACATGTTAAAAGATTTTGTTGTTTCTATCTTGAAAAAACAAATAAAACTTAATAAGTATTATTGTCTTACTTACTTTTTCGTGAAGAATGTTGTAGCACTAAATGCAGCACTTTTTAACAAAAAAAATGATCGAAAACAGTCACAATTTTAACTTAAATAATCAACCAACTCAAAATGAATGAATATTGCAGAAAATATTACTACACGATTATTTAGTAATGTGCTATTATTCCCGAAAGTTTTGATGTGGACACGCGAAAACAATAACAGCAACTGGCGATCGTCGACTGTTGCACAAATATGGCGTGATAAATCAACCAATCACATAACGACATTTTTACGCGCCACTACGTCAGTTTTGCCGTTATGAATGTGAGTCTTACTGACCATAAAATACGGACTATTTTGCAAGTGACTGTGTTATAAACCAGTATTTTCAAGATTTTGGTTTGTGCGGGTATTCATGCAAAGCAGCGACATATTAAGGTAAGAAAATTTTTATTATTATATTATTAGAAAATTAAGAAATACAACATCAAAATAGTATTAAGAATTTTCATAGGAACGCATAATCGTGTTAACAGCAGTGTTATTTTCACTTTCAGCTTCTTCGTTGATCATGGTGCTGTAATTCAAACCTGAGGGTGTAATAATAACCTGCCTGGGGTTTACAAATGTAGGGTTCGTTGATCGATCGGAAGGATGAAATCCTAAAGAGTGTTGTCGCTTGATGCAGTCATTGGGTTGGGCTACAGGGAGTAAAATCCCATGCTACTTGTGCTGCTTGTTGTAGTTGCTGCCGGACTAGGGATAAAATAGTTAGGGGATGAAGAGTGTGCATTTTCTGTATACTTCTTTTGTTGTATATCAGCCAATCTAGCTTTGGATAATATTTTTTGGATCTCTTCTTGTGCAATAACAGATTGTTCTTCAGACAGTTTTTTTAGTTGAGCTGCTACATGTTTACCGAAAATATCAGCGTCAGACTCTTCTTCAAATGGTGACATATTAACATCATTTGACACACTTTTTAAGTCCTTTATCATGGCGGCCATCTGAGATATTTTGGAGCGTTTTGATCGCGGAGACCCAGATTGATTGGGAGCTGTCACAGAATTTCGAACTGGCGTCTGGATGGCTTGAGTTGGCGTTTCAGTAGAATTATCATTATTTTCAGTAGATCTTGATACATTTTCAGCTCCGTCACCAACACCCTCAGCTTCACCCAACTCAACGTCATCGTTGCTGGTTCCTGAGTTATCCTGTTAATGAGAATAAAATGTAATGTTTAATAAATCATTAGTTGATGATAATACGTATTTAGGTTGTAATTATTTTTTTTTGTTTACAGATTCCAGAACGAGAAGAAGAATGGAAAATTATTGAAGACGGTTTCAATACCAAGTGGAATTTCCCTTCATGTTATGGAGCAATCGATGGGAAGCATATTATAATTAAAGCTCCTCCAAATACTGGAAGTGAATTTTATAATTATAAAAAAACCAATAGTACAGTATTGTTAGCACTTGTAGACCACGACTATTATTTTTCATATATAGACGTTGGAGCGAATGGAAACGCCTCTGATGGAGGTGTTTTCAAAAATTCCTCATTATATCGTCGGTTGGAAGATGGATTGCTTCCTACAAATGGAGTAATAGTTGGTGATGCAGCATTTCCACTGAAGAATTATTTACCAAAACCCTATCCAGGTACGCAGCTAAGTACTGCCGAAAAAGTCTTTAACTACAGGTTGTCGTGTGCAAGGCGCATAAGTGAAAATGCTTTTGGTATACTGGTTTCTAGATTCCGAGTGTTCGAAAAAGCAATTCCAACCCATGTGGACACAGTTGATGCCATTGTCTGTGCAGCCTGTGCCCTGCATAATTGGTTGCGAAAGCGTTCAAGTTCCTACATAACATCTACTTGTGTAGACAGAGAGGACAATGATGGACAAATAATAGAAGGAACATGGAGATCGGAAATAAATCCACTACCAAGCATTTCAGAACAACAAAGAGGCAACCATTCCATGACTGCTAAAGAAAAAAGAGACCTATATAGGAACTTCTTTATGACTGCTGGAAGTGTGCCATGGCAATTGGATAGAATTCATTAATTTTGTATAGGTACCTAGGATGGAAATAAAATAAATAAGTTACAATAACTACTTACGATTGTTTTCCTTTTTACAATAGCATTTTTTATAAAGCCGTCCAGTTCTTGAAACCACTTGACTTTTGGGACATATACGTTCCTACCAGCGCCAGATCTGGTGGATTTTTGTATCTTGTCGAGCTCTAAATAATATGTAGCCCTTATGGCTTTAATTTTATTTTTTACTTCAGTAGAAGTGAGCCCTCCGATTTGCATTTGTTGAGCCATATTTTGCAACGCTGTTGACCGCATTTCTTTATTGCGGTAATTTAGGGATTTAATATCCCAAAGGCACTCGTTTTCGCCATATAATTGCACCAATTTTAAGGCTTCGTCTTCTTACGCGTCATTTTTATCGCCAGCGAAAAAAACGTGATCACTCTACAACGCAGCGGCAGTGACTAACCACGCACTGACTTGTCTGTTTACACGGGGTTTATTTGGCTGGCGCGGGGGTGCGCGGGTGGCGGGGGGCGCCAACTGACTTTAAAATATTCGTGTCCGAATATTTAAGTCAGCGCTGACTTAAAGCCACTGTACTGACTTCAAATCAGTTCACACAAGATTTTTTCGGGTCAGCACTGACTTGCCTCGAATTTGTAGTCAGTTACTGACCCTGTGTAAATCAGCCGTAAGACTTACACTGGACTGATTAAAAGACTAGAAATATTTTTATTATTATTATTCTAATACAAGTACAATCAATTGTGTCAAATACAAATTATTTATTAATAAACTAATATTTTACAGTACACTATTATTATGG